ACTTTTCACGTTTCCTAAAGAAGAAAACATACCGATTGGATATTTGCATTTTTAATTGAACGTAAGCTTTTCTCTTTCCAAAACAATGGGGATAATACAGAAAAAAATATCTCTTATTGCTTCACCTGACAAAAAAACAAGAAATAAAAAATTCGCAAATAAAATTGTTATTATTAAAAAAAGGATATGTAGGATATGAGATAATACTAAAATTAATAATTTATAAAATATAAAATATATATGTATATATTATTATATATGTATATGATTTATTATATATATATATATATATATATATTATATGTTTTATATATGTATATGTAAAACATAGTAATCAGTTAAAACTAAATCACTTTCGTATTAATAGCACTGAGACAAATGTTTGGTATAAATAACAAAAATTTTATTACTGATGTTAAAACTATTTACTTGGTATATGACTAAACTATTGATTACCAAGCTGATATTAATTCGTTGAATTATTAAATAAATAATTAATCATTTAGTGATATAAATTTGTTTTGTAAAACATTCAGGAATATTTTACAATTAAGAGAAAAGAACATTTTATATATTTATTATATTAAGTATTTTATTTATTATTTATTACATATTTATTTTAAAAATGTTTGGTTAATTCAGTATCATACCATTTCTACACTTAACTCAGTATCCATTAACTCAGTATACCATTCTACATTTAACAAAAATATTTTCTCATAATAGATAATTTTGTTGAAATTACAAGAAAAAAACTTATTTTCTAATTGTAACTCAATTTTATATTATTATTTATAAAATTTGAATAACCAAACAAAATTGTGTTATTAAATCAAAAAGTTTATCAAATTTTGCTTATCTAATAAAATATTTTATATTTTACTATTTTAATAAAATTGTCTAATAAAAATCGGCTTGTAAATAATTCTCTTTTTTTTTGTTACCATTAGTATAACTTTTTTCTCAGAGTGATTGTCGATAATCATTGGGCAACATTAAAGCATATTTTGCATTAAAGTCATTGCTCTTAAAATAAAAATTGTTCATGATTTCATGTAACCGCTAGATACAAAGTTTCATTTTCATAAAGACTCAAATAAAATTATTGATAAAATTGCCGTTAAAGAATTTTTAGTCATTCAATTGGATTGATGGAATTTTCTTCTCTTTCGGTTAAATTTTATTATGTACTAATATATACAATAAATTAAATATAAATAAAAATGTTATAATTATTTATCTAAAGGTATGTATAAATGTTATGGTATATAATTATTTTGTACACAATTACATTAAAAAAAAATTTTATAGAAATAAAATAATCTAAATTTTAATAATCTAAATAATCTATAAAACAATTTATAATGGATAAAAAATATCGATTAATTTGATATAAATAAATAAATTAATTAATTTTTACTTTTATCCTATTAATATTTATTTAATAATAAATAATAAATTTAATTTTGCACAATCGTAATTTTGTACAATCCTAAAAAAGCATTCAAAAGAAAAATCACAAAAGAAAAATTGCGAAAATCGAATCACTGATATGCATTCTATATTAATATATTCGGGATTAATATATTCGTTTTTCCGAATAAATTTCGAAATGCAGAAAAAAACGCAAATTAAATTATACTTCTTATTGCATAAATTCGTGAGTTACAAATTGCAAGTTCCATTCTAAAATTCATAAAGAAATAAGATGTTTTATTCGCTTATTGCATTGGATGCATTGTTACGGTGACATTTCGTCCTACGACAAATGAGACAATGCCCTTGGGCATCCTTACAAAAATAGCATCCTCATATCATGCTCATTAATTCTCGGTAATGTGCTACACCACTACTGCACATAATCTGTACAATAACATAATTTATAGTGTAGTATGATTTATCGACATAAATATCATAATTTGCTGACGGAAGCTACTGCCATCTTCAGGTTACTTGTCAACTTCGAATCTCTGCATGTTTATATCGACATGGTAATACTTTTTATCACAAAAATAGTTTATACTCTCCCCCTCTGCCCTGCAAAATCGAACAAGATAGTAAAGAATAATTTATTTATGTAATAATAAATCTGTCTCTTTTGTAATTGAATTTTTCACACTTTTTGACTTATGTTCTTCCTTCTCCTTTAACATCTATACACATTTCATTTTCAAACATAGAAAGTACAAAAATATAGTACAATTATAAAGGGCAGACTTAAAATTTTTTTCCATTGTAATATCAAAAAATACGATATTAATTTTCGCCACGTTTGATCCCTCATAGTGATTAAATAAGATTAAATCATATATATGTTGCATAGCTTCAATGTTAAAACGATTTCACAAAATGTCGCAAGAAATATGCAAAGTGTTTATACAGATGAATATATGGAACAAACATTTTAGAAATCGCTTCTTTTATATTTCAATTTATGTTTCAATTTATGGTCCATTTTCTAGAAGATTCGTTTACACTTCCGTCACATATTACTCTATCACTTTTACGCTTTAGATCTGTTTGTCAGAGAAACAATTATATTGTAATCTTTCAGATAAATAAAGATAACATTATACATAAAGACAAATGTTTCTCAGATCAAATGTTTCTTTCTCGATTTTCCATAAACTTTGAGTCTATTCTCCATCTCAATAAAAATCTAGTATCTTCGTGACACAAAACTATTTGCGAGGAAAAGAACTGGCTCGGGTATTTGTTCCAGCTTATCTCCCACGAAGTTGCAATTCGCGGATTTACGATAACCAGGTAGTTCTTCTTTTGTCTCTTAGCGAGCTAAATATATATTTAAATTCTTATCGACTTCTGCATCGTTTTGCGTCGCAACTCCAGCCGTCGTCGCGAGCGGCCTGTTTGCAGCCATCGCATCCCCGGTGGACAGGATACGATGGAACATGAAATACGTATAGCGGATTGCAAAACGACCGCCTGTTGCAATAATGTCAGCTACGAGCGTTAACGGCCGCTATCCGGCGTTATAGTGATTAAGGCGTGGCTATCTTAGCGTGCCTATTTATAGCCGAACGTGCATACGGTCGGCGCGCGCGCCTTTCACGCGCGTGATCGTGCGGAAAGTGCGATTCGTCGTCCGCGATTGATGCGAATTGACCGCGCGCTTGCATCTCTCGCTAGCGATCGGCGCGCGAATGGCGCGCCGAAGAGAGGCGGTCGCGAAGAACCGAATTTCATCACTCGCGCGTATAAATCATCGTGTCCAAGCGGATCCACTTCTCACAGCTTGCGACATATATTCGACTCTCGACTTTTCGACGTGTCCTCCGCCAAATCGTCACAGAGTCATAAGTTTCAGTTTATGGCGAATTCTCGGGTGACTTCCCTCAAGAGAATTCTCGAAATCTTCCTTAACATCTGACGTTAATATGTGCCGTGTATGCGCATTGCTATTGAGCTTCTCGAGTTCCTGAGTAACGTAAAGTCAGCTTGGTTAATCTAAATGCAAAGAGATGCAGTTTACGTATTAATCGGATTTTGACATTTTTTTTCTTTTTCGGTAAGAGATAAAGCTACATTTTTTTCTTAAATATACATGACATTTTTTTTAGACACAAATCGCTTCTGCAAATTCGCCGAGGGAACCGATAAACATACAAAAAGATAACTTAGCTCTTCTATCGAGATATCTTTATTTTTCACGAGATAACATCTTCATTTTTAATTTTCTCCTACGAAACGATAATATCGTAATGAGTCTCCTCTTCGCTCTGTTAATAGTAACGTATTTTATCAAGACAGCCACGCGATTAGTCAAACCGTGACTGCAACTTTAACGCTTTTTATCCGCGACAATTGCATACGAGGTCAATGTTGCCGTTTCGCAAATTGTCGTGGAATGCGAAATTCCCATCACTCCAATTTCGAAATCAAATAAAACGCGGAGTCAACGAAATTAATACAGCTTTATTTAAAGATCTCTCTTTTAAAGATACATCTCTGGAAGAACTTCGTGACACTGTCAAAGGCATTATTACCATTAACACGTCTTTCGTCTTCTCAATATACTCTTCATATTCATGTTGTATATACATATTTCTATCTATTCGTACAAATGGCATGAGACTTTCTGTTCCCACGTCGTCGATGAATTATATATATATAATCGAGTAAGAGAAAACGTGAGACACAAAGATACTCGTATGAGACAGATTTCTCCATATGCGAAGAAAATTCGAATAAGAGGACGAATAAGAAACGAGATACTTCGTGTATTTCGTGACGTTTCTATCACTTCCACACTCTCGTTCGCTCATAACAGAGATATTAATTTCCACGTTGTAATTGTAATTCGTACAATTAGCAGTATCTCGTTCGAGTGTGACTTTATGAGCGCTCCACATTGTTCGATACATAAATCGTACCTTTTTCGCATACCACACTCGTTCAAGTGCCCCTCTCCCTCCCCCCCCCCATAAGTACACGATTTG